GGGATTGCTGCCCAAATAATATATATATATATATATATATATATATATATATATATAGAGAGAGAGAGAGAGAGAGAGAGAGAGAGACACACACACACACAGAGTTAAAATGTAAAAATTCAGCACAAAAGATTTTAAAGTTTTCTGGGAAAATAACATCTGAAATAATGTTTAAGTTTATTGTCATGGAATAATATTTTTTTCCTAGTAAATTTATTTCAGTCAAATGCTTATGGCTAAAAACTTTTAAAGACCATTACATGATACACGACCAATCCTAAAGCCATGTATACGTGACCTTTCACAGGTTTATAAGGATGACTCAACCTTTCTTCCTTTTTCCAGTACAAATAATTATAAAATCTCTTTTTATTACCTTTAGTAAATTTACACAGTTACAATGTAAAATAATGAAGTTTGTGTTTTTTTTTTTTGCATCTAAAAAAATACTTTTCTTGACAAAAACCTTTAATATTCAAACTTTAGGCATTTAAAATGTTATTTTTGTTTACTGAAATTAAATATGGCTTAAAAATATTAAGATTAACTGTATGTAAAAGAAATATAAATGGTGATTGATACTAAAATTTTGTGAAATACTAAACTTATTTGAATTTAATTTCCCCATCTTATTTAATATTTAATTCATAGCACAAAGGCATTCAAAGTATCTATTATTTTAATTTTAAGTTAATTTTAATAACTGCTTAGAACTGAGTAACAACTTCAGAGTTACATTTGTCTCATTTTAATGCTTATTAATAAAGTTTCAACAAAATATTAAGCTCAAGCCCCAGGGGGTCTTCCCTCCAGGCAGTACCTCTCCTTCAAGAGCCTAGTGCATTCCCAAAAGGGGAAGTGCCAAGGGGTTTGGGCAATTTTTGTATTATATTGCCATTAAACCCACTTTAAACCTCAACTACGTCATATTCAGTAGTGACGTGTGTGCAGAAAAATACCCTTATTATTACGAATTCATTCAAAGTTTTTATGTTTTATGATTTAATATTAAGTAATGCATGTGTATTTTTAAAAGATAATTCAAAATCAAATCTTGACAAAACTTGAGAAAAATAAAACATACCTTAATTTTTTCAAAATGACAGAAACAAGATAGAAAACTAAAATTTAATTTAATTTTTTCTGTACACAAATGTGTTTTCACCTATCCAAAACTGCTTAGTCTGAAACATAGCCAGATACAGGGAAACAGAAAAGCAGAATAATTGCAATTTGCAAATCTTTGAAGTAGAGAGAGCTTGTCCCACAGTAAAAAAAACAAAACAAATGAAAATTTAGACTCTTAGCTTTTTATTGGGTTTGACCATTAATATAATTGATAGTAGTAGAAAATATGCAACTATCTCATATATGAGGTAAGCATGTGATTGCTGAATAGAATTTGAAAGTTTTATATTTTGTACAATTAGCAAACCTACACTTGACTGTTAACTGACATAAATATGCAATTTAATCCAATCAAAAATAAAGTAATGAGAAAATTAATGAGAAAATGCAGTATATGTACAACAAAATGTACATTACTTACACTGGAAGCTATTTTACTATAATTATTTATTTTGTTCAAAGTAGGAGACATTCTTCTTCTATGTGCTATGTCCCCTTGCAATTTTGGCAATCATGAATCGCCACAATTTTTTGTCCTTTAGGAGAAAATATTTTGAATCTTTTGTTCTTTCTTGGCTTCTATTCATAGATCATACTATCAGAAGCCACAGTCTGGATATCTGAGATACATACACAAAAGAACTCTTACAAGAAATATAATTAGTTGAATACAAAATATATATATATATATATAAATAAACTAATGTTTATATATATATATATATATATATATATATATATATATAAATGTCCCTTGCAATGTTTTTATATATATATATATATATATATATATATATAAATAAACTAATGTTTTTTATATATATATATATATATATATAAATAAACCAATGTTTTTATATATATATATATATATATATATATAAATAAAATATTTTTTTTATATATATATATATATATATATATAAATAAACCAATGTTTTTATATATATATATATATATATATATATATATATAAACCAATATATATATATATATATATATATATATATTACAATAAACGTGCAATCAATTTACAAATACATGAATTATTCACACAAAACTAATGCAAAGGTTAATGCTTTAAATGGCTAGACATCCATCATCGCAAAACAATTCAAATAGTATACAAAAACCTCCAAACCGTTATGAATGAATTGATCCTTGTTTATATAAATTTCTGCCGTATTAGTTGTTATTTTTACTACAAGCTTTCGTCTGTTCCTACAGACATCTTTAGGTATAAAATAGATGTTGTTCTTGTTTTTTTCTCTTAGTAATAAGAGGACAACGAAAAATATATGTGTTGTTGTATCTAAAAAATGCTATTGAAATGAGTTATTGGTTTTGGAACGCGCCAAAGCAACGCTGAGTTTGATTTTAAATTTTTTAAAGTTTGTGCGTTCATACAAAATAAAAATACGGCAGAAATTTATATAAACAAGGATCAATTCATTCATAACGGATTTGGAGGTTTTTGTATACTATTTGAATTGTTTGCACACTGATAATCAGTCAAGTAATTGCATATATCCATATTAGGTTATTAGAAGTAGGTAAAGGTTTAAGAAAAAATAGTTACAGAAACTTATTTGAAATTTTATGAAATTATATTAGAGAGAGAGAGAGAGAGAAAAAAAATTAAAACTGAGATAGATGTCTTTTGTTTTTAAGTGAAACGACATAAGAGAAAGGGTGAAAAATATTACGGCGAAAATAAGCAGAGTAAAAAATGAATTGTACATGATTACTTTTTATTATTACCATAAGCAAATATCTGAATGAAATCACTTTTATTATGTCCTTAAGCTTTATTATTTGTTGAAAATTTTGAAGAGACTGATGAAAAATAATACTAGCTTAGCTTAGTTTTTTTAGAGATTTTTTTGACAAGAACACAAAATGCATAGTGGTGAGCAAAAGGGCACCCCAAATATGTGAATTACACATTGGGGATGTCAAAAAAAAAATAAAATAAAATAAAAAAAAATGCAGAAATTCGACTGTCTTGTTAGTGTAATCAGGTGATTTAATGAATAATGGCAATACCACTGGCAGCATATGAGACAAATGTTGACGTTTTAATTATTAAAATTTGTCTCATATTAAATAGGAACTAAAAAAGGAAACAGACTATCACATTGAAACAAGCAAAATTTGGGGGATAAAAAAAAAAAAAAAGAAAGAAAACTTGGAGAATTCGATACCCACAACAAAAAAAGCAAAGAAAAACCTAATTTTGAGAAAATGGATGGCAGAAGCAATACCTTAAGAATAAGGGGTCAACAAAGGTATTGCTTAAAAAAAACAACTAAAGCAATCATCATTGTGAGCAATTCAGGGTGACATTCACGTCCTGAAGAGACATCATACATAGCAGAGAATTTTATCAAGGAATGATTTTTTAGGAGGGATCATAAACTTCAGTATAATTGTAATGTGTTTAGTTTAAATAATTTATTTTAAACATCAAATTTTTAAATTCCCGCTTTAAGATAAGGAGGAAAAAAAAAGTTGAGAGGAAACAAAAAATCCACTTCCGATGTACGTCGTAGACTAAAAAGAACTTTCCTCTCACTAAGAATAACCGGTTTTATTTATTTATTTTTTTTGCATACATATTTTTAAACTCGTTCATTAGACATTGTTCACACCATTAAAGAGGTGTGATGAAAAAAGATAATTTACGTAGGTGAAATTAAGTTAAGTTTTTGATTATTGTTTTACAAATTAAATAATGAAAGTATAAAAAAAAAAACCTACAAAAAATAATTTTTCAGTCTGAAGAAAAAAAAGAAGGATTTTTATTAAATAAAAAACACCGAAATAATTATTTAACAATAACATGCTTTATTTCCCTATTTTGTAAAAAAAAAAAAAATTTCTGCGTGCCTATGATCACTGGGAAAAAAAAAAAACATTTCAATTTGTCTTTTTTTATTGTCCCCCCCATTTTTCATCGTAAAGAATCTGGTGAATAAATCAAAATAAAACGACGTGAAATTATTTTCTTATAAATATAATGAATAGTTTTTTTTAAATATATTTTAAGTTGACAATCAGTCGAGAAAAAAAATTACAAAATAAATATTTAAAATTAAAAATCATTACAAAAACCAAATTTCTCAAAAGTTAAAAAGAAGAGAAAATAAATTCAATTTATTTGGATTTTTTTTGTTATTTTGCATAAAAAAATGAGATTTCTGTTGGTGTGTAGGGCAGGGTTAAGAAAATTCCATAAGTTGTTGAAGTCAGCCTTGTGTTTTTTTAATACTGTTAAATTATTTTTTTGGATAAAAACTTGCCAAATATTTAAACGTGAAGAATTATTTCTAAAAACTAAAAGTATTATTTTTTTGTTTAAATATGTAAGCGAAAAAGATTTAATTATTTGATAAAAATATTAAATTTCACTTTTTTTTTTTTTAACTCACGGTAAGTAAAAAAATACAATCATATATCAAAATAAAATAGAGAAATTTGATAGACAAACAAAAATATACTAAATAGCTTTTTTTGAGTTCATTAAAACACTGAAGTGAGGAGCAGATAAGGAAAGATAAAATAAAAATGAATAAACAATGAAGCGAAGCATCCATAGACGAAGAAAATTCTCTATGCCATGTCTCTCTTCAAGACGTTGACGATCGTGGCTCTTCATAGCGTCCAGTCTTTTTTGTCGCTTTAAGTAACTAATGTTTATCTAACTACTAATCTTTATCCTTTTTTTGTCCCACCATCCATTTACTCAACAAATATATCAAGTTTCACTTTCTTCCCGTTTCACTCCCTTACTTCAAAAGAAAACTATGAAATTATTACTATTTTTTTCAAGGGCAATAACATCAAAATCGAACAAATATTATCCAGTATACCTTGTAACGAAGAGTTGTAGGAGGTTCTAAGTACCTCCCTAGTAAGTGGGCCTAAATGTCCATTTTTTAAGGGCAGGTTTAACAATCTGGCTAAATATCTCATTGTGTTTTTGTTTACACTACGGTGATCCGTCCATAAAACCGACAAACATAATTCTAAGGCGAATCACTTTTAACAGCCTTACAACAGCTTACGAAAGGCCACGTACTCGTTATGAACAATATATTTATGCGCACAGTTGTATAACCCTTCCAAAAAAATACAAAAAAAAATGCTATAAATATTGAAATTCATAAGCATTATTAGATAAACTTAAAATGATATATAAATAGTTAAAGATATGCATAATTTTATATTATTTTATCTGATTCCATGAACTATTTTATTGTGCGTCATAAGTTCCGTTTTTCAACGTGCCATGATAAAATTTGCGGGTGGGAGCCGCGATGGCAGTAGATACAACGGTAGTCAGAAGTGCATGTAGCTTCAACTTGAGATTGTTTTTACGGCAATAAGGAAGTTAAATTTTTGTCAAAGGAATTGATAAGCACGTTTACAGAAAAGTGCAAAACTGAAATCATGAAGATCAGTCATGTTTTATCGTCTGTGTTACAATATTGTTACCTGTTGATTTTAACTGTTTACCTGATCGAAACCCATCAAACCGAAGATATCAGTCATAACAGAAACGGAGACAGTACTGATAAAAATGCCAGTGATACGAGGAGTACGGCGACTAAGAGAGTTGCCGAAAGATGTTTTTGTAAGGTAAGAAAGTAAAAAAGTGATTCTCTTAGTTAATATCACTGTTTTTAGCTGTTCACTCAAGATCCACGTCAGTTCCTTTTCACTTTCTTCAACTTTATCCTGTCTCTACCCCACGTTTCTCTTCAATATCGAGCTATTTATTTACAATTTTTTATTGTAAGTTTAAAGCCTTAAAAAATAAAAAGGTAGTAATTTTTTTATATCAATGATTTTTATAATTAAAATGAATGAACTGTAAACCTTGTTTTGTTTTTGTCCCTGAATAAGACTGGCATCTGATGAGGAGGAGTTATAAATCGCAATTTACAATATTCTACTGAATTTTTAAAAAATAGCTTGTTAATGTTTTGTTTTACAATTTTTACCCAATGTCCCATCTGTAGTAAAATTGTTTTAAACTTGGAAATATAAAAAAGTACAGTTTAAAATAAATATTTATTTATTTTACCAATAACGGTGTTAAATTCGATTATTAATGCCACTTTTGTGACTTATTTTAATTTTTTTAAACATGCAGAGATGTAATGTAATGATAAGTAAACCTTTTTTATTTTCGAATAAATAATTGACAATTATTGGGACCTTTTAAAATTTTAATTATTTCTTTCTCTACGTTTTTTCCTGCAAAATATAAATAAAAAACCCGAGTCAAAATAAATCTGCGTTTAAGTGTTAAATTGAATAATAATTATCACTACTAGATCAATTTTTAGTGCCCATCTAATAAAAAAGCTGTTAAAAATAAACTTGCTTGACGTTTCTTTAAGTCAAAGTAAATGGCACATATTCATGTTTTGTTTTCTTCTGAAATGAAACATTCATTCCACTATAAGTCACTATTAGTATTGTGTTCTAAATATACAATTAGAAATATAAACAAAAAAAAAACTGTCAATCAGTAATTTAACCTAGTTTGAAAAAACTTGTCTAGTTTATGCATTTAATTAAGAAGAAGCAAGATGCTTGTCACTTGTCAGCTTCTGTATAGAAACCTATTTTTTATTTTTGCTGTAATTGAAATATGAAGAAAGTGTATTTCTTAAATAAATAATCCTTTTCTGTTTTCTGTGATTGAAATATGAAGAAAGTGTATTTCTTGAAAATAAATAATCCTTTTCTGTTTTCCCTGTGCTGTGTGTAGTGTACAGGTGTACTCATAACTAAGTATTTTTTACATTTATTTGAAAACTAAAATTATATTAAAAAATAAAAATACTTCATATTTTTTCTTTTTATAGTGTTATTTGTTTTTGAGAGAGGAAAAAACCCACTCCTGTATTATTATTGATTCTTAAAAGCCGATCATCTATAACACTTTAACATTTCTCTCCTTCCTTTCAAAGCTGATGGATCATTTTCTTCCTTCTTGGGTGTCGAGTGAATGACGAGGGTCACTATTTTTCGATTGCCCCATATTGAACATATTTCGTAAAACACTAACTATAAAGTCACCGTATCGTAGGACATTAGTACATAGCACTGAATTCGTATATTTGTGTTTTTTACTCCTTTCTTCGGTAATTCTGACCCACTCCTTTCCGCTGCCTCTCATCTGAAAATTAATTTTTTTAAATAAATCTCATCGAAATTTATAAAACCTCACAGTCACAAGCAATTCTTTATTGTGACATTATCCATACCGAAAATTGAATTTACTACATTTTTGTATTGTTTTGTTTTTTTGTCCCTCACTTATTTTGTTGTTTTACGATTTGCATTTATTTTTCCTGAATAAAATTTTTAGGCATCATATGTCAAATAAAGTAGGTTCAGAAAACCTGGATAAAGGAGTAAAACTAAAAGTATTACCAGCAGACAAAAACAACATTCTTTAATAATGTAAACTAAACAGTACTTGGTTTTTAAAAATATGTGTATTGATTGAATGTCTACGATGTACTATTGGACTTACATTGCAACTTGACTCCATCGTTGAGATCTTAAACACGTGTCTTTCTTTAGTTATTTTTTTTTAATGAAAGTAAAGAAAGCTAGTAAATGATATTTTAAATTCAGCTGTACATAAATGAATTTCATCTCAGAAAAATAGTTGTAAGTTTGGTCTGTTAAACACGTAAAATAGCTTTTCACATGAAGCCTAAAGTTTGATTTTTTTTTTTTTTTTTTTTTTTTTTTTAATTAGAACTTTTTTATTTATTTATTTTTTTTTTTTTTACAAAATCTGAAATAAAATTAAGTATTATTAACTCTCTCTGATGACATAATGCAAATACACAACCAAAATTTCACTCTATCTCTCTGCGCCATTTACCATTCGGACATGAGCGAAAATGGCTCTCCACAGCATCCTGTTTTTTTGTTGATCTAAATAATTTGCCCTTTTACCACACCTCTTTTTGTGATTGTTGTTAATTTTCTGCCTTGGCCATTTACTTGTCAAGTTATGTCACTTTCCCTTTCATTCGCTTCTTATACCTTGTTGTTATTATCCAAGCCCTCTTTCCTCGTTGTGTCAAAAATGTTCAGTCTTTCTGATTTAGTAGCAGCAATTTCTTTGTGGTTTTTATTCTCCTTAAAAGTTAAGTTTCTCGATTTAGTATCCTCAATACTTGTTTGGTTGAACATCTTTGTCACTTCAAGTTTCTTCATATGTGGTTATTGTTCACTACACCATCAATTGCTATTAAAAGAGTAGTTCGGCAATCTTTGTTTCTAAGGACATTTTCCAATCCCATAACAACACTCTACTCAGTTTCTAAAGAGTGTCTTTTAGTTTTAGTTTTCATTTCTGTATCACACTTTTTGTCATCTTACTTAGTTTTAAATTTCTACAACTATTACTTGACATCTCTGATAGCTCACACCTTAGGTCTTCTCTTTCTTTGATTCTTCTTTGATGTGCCGCGTTCCTTCAGGATGTTGGTGATCATGGCACTCCACAATTTCCGTCCCTTGTAGCGCTTAATAACTTTTGTCCAGTCCATGGTATTCTCAGCATCCTTCTGTAGAACAACATTACCTTGTTTAATTATTTTGATTTTCTTTCTGAATCTACCATTAATAATACAGTTTTAAACTGATATGGTGTATGTTGTTAAAATTGTTTTAATAATAATAAATCTTTGTAAGTCTTCTTGAATCTTCTTGCTGTACAGGTTAAAAATAGATCTAGTGAAAAAATTTGTTCTTGTATTCTTTTTCTATTCACTTTAGCTTGTTCTTTATCCATATGTTTTTATCCCCAGTAGATGTTATTTTCTTTTCTGTTTTCTCCACTTGTATTGCTTACTTTGATAGTATTTCTTGTTCATCTTCTTTCCCTATATCTGGCCTAATTATGCTACAAGCTCTATTCATTAGAATCCTAATTATTAGTTCAATTATGTAGCTCAAGCTGACTTTTAATAGGGCAGGTTGATTTCTCACTACTGTTTTTTTAGAAATCAACATTGCACTCTGTGTGAAGCCTGGAGTTTGATGTGATAAGTATTCACCAAAAATTAGATGAATAGCTTTCACCAATTTTTGAGCATTTAATTTTATTGTCTGAAAAATTGTTCAGAAATACCTAATTTCTGCAGGTTTTTGACTTAACTGACAGGGACGTCCCAGTTAAAGCTAAAAAAGTGGTATACCCTGGCGAAAAAGGTCCCCAAATTGATAAAAAAAAAAATTTAACGTGTAAATGATTAAAATTAAAGAGGGAAGACCAAGGTATTTTTTAATTATTTTAATTTTTTTTTTCATTTGCAGCATATTTTAAATTTAGATTGAAAAATCTTTTTTTTTTTTTTTTTTTTTTTTTTTTTTTTTTTTTTTTTTTTTTTTTTTTTTTAGGTCAAAAATTAGGTAATATTAACATTAGTTGTTTTTTTTTTTTTTTTTTTTTTTTTTCACTATTTTCAGTTGGAAAAATACACATTGATTTGGAAAATCTTGCAAAAAATCAAGTACTTGTTGGATTTTTTATGAAACTTTCAGAACTTATTCACAAATGAATGAAATTATTTTAGAAATGTTTGTCTTTTGAAAGTCATGGTATAAATTTTTTTTTTTATGTTACCCCCCCCAACTTAATTTTATGAAAACTTCAAAAATTTATTTTTGCAACTGGAATTTTTTTTTATTAAATGCACAAGAATGAAGATTCTAAATCATCGATTTTTTTTGGTAAAAAAATGTGTAAAATTGTTCAAACTTTTACCTCAATTGTAAACATATTATAAAACTAAGACAATATTTAATTAAAAAGGCTTTTTATGACTTTTCTGAATAACATATACTAAGGTAATTCTTATCTGAAAAAAAAAAAAATTTTGAAGAAAAATGAATTTTTACAATAATTTTTTTTTTCTATTTTAAATACACAATGACAAAAAAAGGTCACAAAATTTTAAAATATATTTTAAAATTAAGTTTCTTTATGCAACCTTATGGAAATGACATATTTTGTTCTCTACTTTTTGAAGATCATAAATTTGAAAGCTTATTAAAATCTGACAAACGTTGATATTTTTAAAATAATTTTTTAATATTCCAAAATTGTATTTAAAATATAGTCTCCAACGAAAGTATGGATGCACAGCTTTGAAATAATGTCACATATGGTAGACTTGTTTCTCTTGATAGAAGCAAGTTCTTTTTACTTCAGAAATTTTTCATCAAACGTAAGGTTAAAAAGATTTGAAAGTGATTTTTTTTTTTATTAAATTTACTAACCAGGTTCACTTAAAATTAGAACGAATTACATCACTTCTGCGCTACCGTACGATAAATTCCCTTGACGTAAAGTTTTCAATATTGACATGTAACACCTCTCAATCACGCACCTAGGCAAGCACTACGGTTGGAAATATCTCTATTAAAAAAATTTCTGCTAAAAAAGTAAGTAATGTTTCTTTCAAATTACATTAAGTATACTTTAATTATTCTAAATTTCCTAAGATAACAAAAAAAAGGTGTAACTGAATTTTAATTGATTTTTGAACTAAGTTTTTTTTTTTTTTTTTTTTTGTTTACAAACTCGGGCAGGAATGTCC